CACTGCTGGGGTTCTTTGTTACTACACAATGGAACCTCTGAGAACTTGTTACAGAACCTTCTGAAATAACTGTATTGGTGGGAGGAGGAATGTGTTTGGAGGCAAGAGGGGAAGAGTGAGGAACCTGAAAAATGAATCACATTAGGAAGTTCTATATTACAGATTGAATTTTGTCCTAAATTCTATAGTGATACTTAGATTAATGGATCACCCGAAAACAAAACTCCCTTTGAAGGGAGTTGGAATGTGGTTTAAAAGAAATACTTCATACACAATATTAAGCACACACAGACATACACACGACTCTCTCTCTCTCTCTCAATCTCTCTCTCTCTCTCTCTCTCTCTCTCTCTCTCTCACACACACACACACACACACACACACACATACACACACTCACATTCACTTACACACACATACTGTGGCTAATCACTCAAGTGGCAGAGAAGGCAGTAGCCTCCCTTTTAAACTTTGTATACTTTGTAAACGTTGTAAACCCTCGAGGCAGGAATGTGGCCAGTCCCTGACCTGTGACCTTCCCCAGGTCTCTCTTACTGGCAAACTGGGGTTCTAGCCTCTGAAACTATGACAAAAGTCATCTCCAGCCCCTCAATATGACCCTTCCCAGTAGGCTAATTTTAGGTGAAGAGCCTGAACAGGAAAAACCACTTGCTCAGGAATTGAAATTCCACCAATCCTCACTCTGAAAATCTCTGCTCTAGAAAGCTCCGGCTCTTAAGAAACCCTAAATAGAAGTTGTGTCTCTTCAGTTCCCTACTGTCTACTCCCAGTGTAAGGGTCCAAAATTCATTGAAGAAAGACCCCAGACTCATATAATATGTAAAAACAAAGAGCATTTATTCTGCAGAAACAACTAGCATGCTAGGGTCACCATTCCTTCAGAATGGTGATGCAGACAAAGAAACTCAAGTTCCTTTTATAACAGAACTGCTTAATTGCTTCTGAGATAACAACAGACTTCTAGAGCACATTCCAAGGGGTTATAAAAACCATTATTGAAGGTCATAACGAAGATTACACCGAAGGTGAAAAGACAGAAGATAAATATTGACTGGGTTTATCTATATAAAGCTCCAATGACAGCTTAGTTATGGTTTTTAACTTGCCATGAATCTGTAAACTAGTAACAAATGATGAATGTTAGCCAGATAATTACTCCTAGTGGATACGCATGTAGACATTCTCTGTTATAAACCTTGTATTCAATCTATGACCTGAATTTATGTGCAAACTTGTAGTGAACTTTTTACCATGTAATCACACACTTAGAAAGTATAATTGCTGAGAACAAAGGGCAGAGACAGGCCTCCCTTCCCTAGAGCTTCCTACTGTTTTACTATGAGCTGTTAAACCAGAAACTGCAGCTTCTGGTCTCAGAGCAACCCTGACAGGCAGATCAGCTGCAGAAGCAAAGTACCTTACACCTAGGATAGGTAGCAAATGGTTTATGGCCTAGTTTCTGAATGGAGACAAAATGGGATAAAAAGGACCCTTCATCAGGATTTATTTTTCCACATCCTAGATGTTCCTAATAAATCTCTTTTATGAGTTTTGTTGCCTGAGGTGAAACTCATGGGAAGCCGAGAAACAGTGAAGAGAAGAAGGGAAGAAGTGAAGTGGTAGACTGGTGCTGAAGCTCCTCAGCTCCTCACCTCAGCTGAGGATACCCTCCCTGGAAGCAGCACCACCTCTGCAGAGTAGGCTTCCTCTCAGAGCTATGTGGCTCTGATGTCTGATGTGCTTCCACTGGGATCCCTTCCTATCTCAAACCTGTGTGTTTCCTGGGCTGCTGAGTCCCAGGACACCTTCCCAGCTGAGCAGGAAAGCCAATGCATACTTAGTCACTCACTTATACACTCATAACACTCATACACACTCATTTACTCTCTCTCCTCCCCTCCCTCTCCCCCTCCCCCTCTCTCTGACTCTGCCTCTCTCTCTCTCACACTCTCGCACTCGCTCCCTCACTCTCTCCCTCACCCACACACACACCCACACACACACCCACGACAGGTCGCCACCCAAATATTGCCAGCAC